ACCCACCTGTTCCCTCTTTAGTCTCTCTCTCTTTCGGATGAGCTCAATCAGGAGACGGGCTCTCTCCAGATCCTGCCTTAGTTTCTGCCAGTATCTCAGCTCCTCTCTGGCCGCACACAGCTTCTCATCAGGCTCCTTCTGTTAGACACAAACCACACACACTCAACACATTACAAGAGAATTGATGTTTTTCATTGCTGCTAGAAAGCTTTTTAATAGGTTGCGTTCACATGATATTACAGCTTTCTGAAGGACAGGTCAGAATTTTATGGTAGAATTTCATTTTTAACTGTCACACAGATTTGTTGACCTGATTTGTGGTTAATATCTCTGTAATTACCAGTTCTATCCTCTTGAAACAAAACTGGTTCAATATAATATTTGTCAGAATAAATAACAAATGGGAAATTATTCATAATTTCATAATAGCTTCAGAAATGGGTGTCATTATTCAACAGCAAAGACGTGTTGTCAGTTGAAAGGACTTGAAGCCATAATGGTTTGCCAAGATATGATGATAAGGTTCAACATTTGTGGATCATACATAGTTATACATACATTTAGAATCGTTCCATGTATGCTTATGAATCTTTACCTGCTCAGTGGCTTTGTGGGTTTGCATATGGGAGTGTAGGCGTCGTATTAAAGGCATCCCATTTCTAGACTGACGTTTCAGTAACCAGTAGTTATGGAGTCTCTGCATGAACTGATTTTTCCTCTGGACATTTACTCCCGTGCAGATCTTATTCAGCCTGTAAATGTAGACAGCAATGGGTTATGGTCAATACATTTGTTTAGCTGCCATACATACCACAATATGACATACTGGGTTTTAGATTACATTATAACATTCTCAGGGCCTAGGGTTTAATTGAAAGAAAGAAAAATGTCTATTGTCAGCTGTGAAAGAGTGAAAAGCCAGCAGTGAAGAGTGAACTTTCAGAAGTAGCAGGGGGCTTTTGGTACCTACTAAAGACAATATAACAATTCTAAATGTGCAAAATTAAGTAAATTGTGCGTTACATTTTATTTGGTATATCACCCACTCTTACTGTCTATGTAATGGTTGTGGTGTGGTTGGATAAAATGCAATGGAATAATGGACTTTGACACTAGCTGCATCATGCAGCCTGTGGATTTTCCTATGAATATTTTATATTAATTGATACTGAAATGTGAACTCTATTGATGCCTATATATGTGTAATCTAGAAAATGACAGTGACTAATAAACGTTTCTTTAAATTTTTACCTGTGAGAAGGTATCTGAGGCACGAGCAGCAGAGGCACATTGGACCGCCGCGACCCTCCTCTTGTCCCCTTCTTCTTCTGCCCTTTTGTACCTTTTTTATTTTGTGGCGAAGGCGGGCTCTGGGTGTATGACCTCTGACCCCTGTTGCCCCGCCCTCCCACCAGTCTGCCCTCCACAGACTCATCTCCTGACCCATCCCGCCGTTCGCCGACTGGAGAATGGTGCTCACAAAACGCAGTCTTTTTTACTGAGAAAGTTGTTCCGTTTACCCCTGTTTCTCTGACTGGGTCGATCTTCATGAACAAACCCGCTTTCTGGGCGCATGTTACATGGAAAGCTCTATAGCAGTTAGCTTTGTGGCACTGTATTGATGCGCCCCTACCCTTCTGCTTACAGAGATAGCACGTTAGCTTCCATCGAGCAGGGGGAATGTTCTTTATCCCTTCAACTGGCTCCAGAAACACAGTATTGGCAAAGCAGACTTCTGGTATCCATATGGCACAAACTACATGAGCCCAGCGCCCATCACTTGTTTGCTTGAAGGCACCTCCTCGATTGGGACAAAGGACGCAGTCTACAGGGCGGGAGGGGGACTGCAAACAGCAACGGCATAACCACTGGCCTTCTGGGACATAGGGTACACCGTAGCACTCCTGATGGACAGCTAAATTACAGATATCACAAAACAAAATGACGTTGCTATTTAGGCATTCATCATCCAGGCAAACACAGCAAAAGGCATCCTCGTCCACAGCACACTGGGCCAAAGCTTGACTGCGGGATTCTAATATGGACTCCCTTTCCAATCGATCAATAAGTAGTTCAAAAGTGTCTGGAGGTACTGAAGCTACACCATCACGTACTCGTTTTTGGTTAACCATTTCTAACCAGGCTAAATCTTCCTCATCCATATCATACTCTGCTACATTGTCCTGTTCCTCCCCCGTTTTGTCTATGAAGCGATAATAAGCCGATGGCAGAGATGGTGCTTCAGACAGGCTCACTGATTTCAACAAGCGAAATTTCGGTTCAGGTAAAGGCGACTGGTGCTGTGTTGAGTTTGTATTTCCATTCTGCTGATGCGACCGTTGTTGATTTTTTCCACTCTTTTTGTTTTTGTTATTGGCTACTTTTCGACTACACCTTGTTTTGCTTTGGGTTTTTTCCTCACTGTTCTCCTTGTTACTGTTGCACTCTACAATATCCTGTGCTGTCATCTCATCATCTGTTATAATGGGCAGCAGGTCAGATATGTTGATGCGGTGGATTCTTCCCTCTAGGTCGACTTCCACAATTTTCTGAGCCTGTGCGTAGGTGAGCGTCTCTCGGGATGGAGAGAGCTGCAGTTTGTAAGGGGAGGCCGGTCGCTGGGTGCCAGAGCTGCCCCGGCCTCGACCTCTGCCGCGACCTCGACCCCGGCCCATGATGGCGCTCCTGTGGGCGGTTCACATTCCCACCTCTGTGTGTGTGTAGGACATACACCAGCTTCCTTTAAATCAGAAGAGAAGTAAATCTATTAGGTCAACATCAGTTACCTGGTTACTGAATAATAATAACGAATGTTTACTTCACTTTTAATGAATTGTAGATCTTTTGTTTTGTAGATTGTGTTGTAGAAGTAGCTTAGGCCTGAAAAAATGTTTTGTATAACCATACTGCAAATCATCAAGATTACTGAATCTAATGTAGGATATTTAGACTTAGATTATTATAAAATAAATGGAACCAAATGTATTCAGTTCTTGTGTGGCCCTGCATAAATACAACTGTTTAAGGGTTTTCAGTAGACTTCTTCATTTTGTCAGTGTGTGGACTGAAGAATGGAACAAAACAAAGTGGTCAGTCACACTGTTGAACTAAAAACAAATGATGTTACCTCAAGTACTCTCTGCACAAACCGTGAGTTACAGCCTTGTTCCTGTGTTGTTACACCATTGGTCTAAACCAGAGCTCGTAACACGTCTGTCCAATCAGAAAGTGTCTCCATCTATTTTTTTCTTCGTTGCTCGACATAGTTTGGTTGCGCTGCGCTAAATACCAACCCGAGTATCTAACATCTGTCAGCCATTTTAAGCGAAGAACAGCGGAGACAACATTTGTATTGCACGTTGATTAGGATCCCAATTACGCACGGCAGCAGCCGTCAGTGCACTGCTGCACGATCTGCGCTGGTTCTACGTGTCTAAATGCACTGCATGCAAAAACACGAGCGCGACATTACAGTGCGCAACGCCTCGGCTTTGGCTCAAATTCAGAGGCTGCAGAAGCTGCTGATGTGATAAGGTTTCGGTCGGTCAGGACACAGAAGTCGTATAACAAAACCACTGAATGTCTGCGACTGACACAAACAGTGAAAACACTAGAGACATTACCTCGTGCGGCTCTCCTCCGCGGAGAGGTGTCACGTACAATAAGCAGCAGGCTAAATGAGAGCCGCTGACAGACCACAGCAGACCTCAGCCGAGGCGGACATGCTCATGTTAGCTTAGCTAGCCGGTAATTCTGGAGCGACAGTGTCATCTTCAGCCCTGCAGTTTTCCGCCCAGAGCGCAGTGAGACACGACAGCTGGACCCGGGTCCATAGCAGAGGGATGGACCTTGTGAACAATATCGGTTATTATCACAAAAATGCTCAAATCACGAAGATATAAAATTAATGCGCCCTGGATAAGGCTAAATATTCAGTCAAGATGGCTTGAAAATACGCCCCTTTGGAAAAAAGCACACAGCCAGTCATAGGCCGTCACTTTACCTCGCGCACAACGCGCACCGATCTTTGATTGGTCAGTGCTCAAACCCGAGTCTATGCATTAAACCAGAGCCTCTGCGCTGCCGCCAAAGCGTGAGAGATAAACAACTGGGCCGTGAGCGCGCCAGTGCCTCATCTGCATATTCACCTGTATACCTGCTCAAGTCCATTTAAATACATAGTGTGGTGTCTGATGTTCCCCTTTTGAGGCCTGTGAGCCTCATAGTTCCCTATAAGGTCTCAATGTATGGAAGAAGTAAAGTGCGGGAGGTTTACTTTCCAAGAACTGTAAGATAAACATACAGTCAACATCTGGAAAGCTTAAACCCTGGACAGTATGGGGTCTGGTTGCGAAAGGGGATGGCTTATAGAACTATAAAATCTGAAGATATCTGCTTTGGGTGTGTGTCTCATATTGGCCAGAGCTCGCCCGGACGTTTGTCTGTAATTAGGCTTTTTCACTCTGTTTTTGTAATAAATAATACTACACTATCAGAGTTTGTTTTTGGATTCTTCTCTGAACACTCCACACCAACGCGGGAGGCATAACAGTCAGGTGAGCAGCTGCTTTGGGAATTATAATGTGTAAGCCACCACAATAGACTTATAAAGCCTTGCATTTTCAAGCGCGTCAGTGTAATAGGTTAAAATAGCACATTATATTTGGCTTTATTCGCCTAAAGGCTATTTGTTCTGAGACTTTGACCTTGGCTGTTGTCCTTTTCCCACAAATTACTTTTAGTAGACAGTCATCACAATGAAATTCTTAATTTTCTGCAGAATAAGTGTGAATCTTATAATCAGTGATGAAACCATTTTTATCTTGCATATCCATAATAGCAACATAGGCTCTTATTTCCTCACACTGGAACTTTATCTTCTACTTGTAGTTCTGAAGTTTGGGGTCACTCCCACCAAAGATATGTTTTCCCTCTCTCCTCCCACAATCCCCTACCATGTCTCTGAACATTTTAATGATCATAACTGTCTCCGGATCACTGCTGAGAGCTCACTAAACCAGCAGAACCAACAGAACCTTCAACACTACAGGTCCTACAGCTTTTGTCTTTTCTCAGTCTTTCTTTGTGTCTCCACTCAGATTATTTGTCTCTGTCCTTGTATTATATCCTAAATCAAGATTGTTTTTCTCTTTTTTTCCAGGATAAGAATCAGGATGCTAAGTTTTGTTGTGCTCTTTTTGGCCTTTCTATTTGACACAAGAATATGTCATGCGGGTAAGATGCCGTTTTCTATAAGTTTACTTGTTTTTAGTAAAATGCATCACTAGCCTTTTGTGGTTTAGTTCAGCAATACCTTGAGTTCAGCAAAGTTGGTCATATTTTAAGGTAAATAATTCCATAAACAGTGTTTTACCAGCTCATCCTTGTTTTCTCCAGAATAGATTTAGTTAGGTAACTTGACAGAAAATAATTGTACTCAAGCATTCATATTTTGTAACATTATGGCTCACTGCCTGATCATTTACTTGGGCAAAAGTTTCTTGTCTTTTCTCTCCTGAATTTGATACAAAATTTCTCCAGAATCACAAATAAAAACTGTGAGATTTATTCATTATCAAAGGCTAGTGCTACTTCCTTTCCAACTCACAAACCCAAATAGGAAATAAGCCACTCAAAGTGGTAATAAATCAAGTCTTGAATTAAAACAAAGGTTCAGTGTTGTAGGTTTTCTGAATAGGAGGATGTGGTGGTTGTCCAAACTCGCCCGTGGAGATCCAGACCCGAATTTGGTATTTTGATGGATTCTGACTGGCCCCCGTCTCACAGCGGCACAGCTTTGAGATTTTGAATTAAAATGTAACTTTGAAATCGTGCCATAACACCAAGCTGTTTCAAATAATAGACAAAGAGTTAGATCAGCAGAGTTGGGCCATTACAGTGAATAGAGGTTTGGCTTTGATTTGACAAAATAGAAGGCCTATTTTTTCAGTTTTTTCAATGCAATTACTCAACAACTAAAGTTAATAACTATTACTTAGTTTTATTTTTTTGTGATTAATTAATATGTTCTCTAGTTTTCACCATCCAACTGGAAAAAAACAATCTTGCATTTGCACAGATTAGTACCGTGCTTTCAACAGCTGGTTTGACTCCTTTACACAAGTGTCACAAAACAATGCAAGGCTAAAATATTGGGCAATACTGAAGTGGAAACTTGATTTTAATTCCAAGAACTGTATAAATTGACTTGCTTTAAAGGTGCATTATGTAACTTTTTTTGAGTGGAGGATGCGTCATCATGTTCCTCTAGCATTAAACTTGTCAATCTTGCATCAAGAGTGACTGTATTGCTCTGACAAGCATGCATCCTTGTATGGTTACCTATCCACAGATCTGACCTGTAACTTGGCCTAATAACCTGCTTGTCTCCATGGAGATAGATGACTTTAAAGCCATACAGAAAAATCACAGACAAAGCATTTCCATAAAGACAAACAGGTGGCAGATGCTCTATCAGAAAAAAAAAATAGACTAATTCACCTTTAATTTACTTTTCTGTCTTTCAGTGGAAACAGAGCTGAAAGTCACTACAATAAAGGTATAATTAAATAAAAACTAACTTTGCCGTCAAATTAAACATCAAGCATACAGAGGTCTACTTAACTTTTATTTTGTTTATTGACAGCAAGAGCCATACGCTATGTCGAAAGACTCGGAGCTGGAGGGCTTCTGCATGGACCTCCTCTTTGAAGTTTCCAAGAAAGTGGGCTTCACATACAAAGTGCACCTGGTGAAAGACGGCTTATACGGCCGAATTGACGAAAGCGGGCACTGGAAAGGGATGATCGGGGAGGTTGTCCGAGGGGTGAGGCTATTAAAACACTATTGTGCAAAATTGTCGTTGGTATTGTATTAAGGTATTAATTCTCTGGCATAAATATTTAGCTCAAACTGTTTTCATATGAAATATTTTCTCTATTAGGTAATAAATAAATGTCATTGTTTACTTGGTGCTGTAGTTGATGCACAAAGTTAAGCATACTGGTATTATTAGTGGTATTTTCTGTGCCAGGGCTCTGTCAAAAAGAAAATATGTCATGATAAATATGCTGTACAATGTGAATGTCTAAACAGTCAACAGTCGCACAAGGAAAGGGGAGAGCTCAACTTGATTGGTAGATCCCTGCTCTGACCGAAGTGACCTGTTCTTGTGTCCTTGGGCAAGACATTTCACCCACACAATGTGTGACTAAGTGGCCACTGGTGCATATTGGTGACAGCATTTCAGTCAGTATGTGAAAGAAAAATATAATGTAAAGCACTTTCAATATGAAAATGTGCTATCCATGTAGGTTGTTATAGCAATTAATGATTTAAAACTAAATATATCTTTTGAATTGATAGATTTATTACACAAAATGAATTCTTGTAAGCTTTAGCCATGTTACCCATTGTCAGTCAATGGCTACATTTTACCTTTAGTTCAGTAGAGACGGGCAATTCCAGAGCTAAAATCATCTGAATCATTCTAGTGAAGTTGTTACATATTAGTTGTTGTTAAGCTGTTCCTTTAATACCACATTCCATTTAAGAAAAAAACTAAGAAAGCCTAAATATGGGCCATGAGCGCACCAATGCCTCATCTGCCTACTCACCTGTATATAAAGGCTATTTGTTCTGAGACTTTGACCTTGGCTGTTGTCCTTTTCTCATGCATTACTTTTTAGCTTTTGTAGACAGTCATCACCATGAAAATCTTTATTATCTTTTTATCTTCCATATCCATAATAGCAACATAGGCTCTTATTTCCTCACATTGAAACTTTTTGTTCTACTTGTAGTTCTAAAGTTTGGACTCATTTCCACTAAAGATATGTTTCCCCTCTCTCCTCCCACAATCCTCTGCCATGTCTCCAAACATTTTAATGATCATTTTAACTTTAGTTCAGTAGAGACGGGCAATTCCGTGGCTGAAATGGTCTGAATCATTGTAGTGGAGTTGTTAAGTTTTAGTTGTTGTTAAGTTGTTCATGTATTACCACATTCTATTTAAGAAAAAACTCCTAAGAAAGCCTAAATATGCAGGGTTTGTGTGTTGTGTGTGAAACAAAACACATCTCCATGTGTTTTTGATGGGGAAACAACATTATAATATAGATCAGAAAATAGCGTAGCCCTTTAAAATTGAGTATTATTTTTTACTACATTCTTTAACACTTTGTTCTAGGAGGCAGATCTGGCCGTAGCTCCTCTCACTCTGACAGCAGCTCGAGCGAAGGTCGTGGGGATGACCAAACCGTTCATGCAGACAGGAATCAGCATTCTGCTCCGAAGAGATCAAGCGGAAAACCAGGGATCCTTCACCTTCCTCACCCCATTCAACACTCAGACCTGGGTTAGCCTACTAATGGCCTATCTGGGAACTGCAGTCTGCATGTTTTTAATTGCTCGGTCAGCAACATACAACTTACAAACATTTTTAAACAACCTCATATCTGGTTGCAGTACTAATATTGCAATGATGTCATTTGCAGGTTGAGTCCTTGTGAATGGGTTTCTGAGAGTGATCAGAACAGGTTCAGTATTGTGCACAGTTTGTGGTATACAGTTGGAGGTCTGACTTTACAAGGTAAGAAGAAGCATACAACATATGCTTACACATTCTTTAAACTAGTTGCAGAATGTAAAGACATTTAAGTGCTTAACCACTGATATACATCTATTATTTATTTGTCACAATACATATCTATAATCTATTTGACACACAGCCAGAATATGTCTACAGATGTTCAGAATGTTGTGTGAAATGTTTCGAATATGATTTCACCCATTAATAATATAGACATACTACTTGATGTTTCTCTTTTGTCATGTAGGGGCCGGTCCTCACCCCAAGTCTGTCTCTGGGCGTGTGGTCAGCTGCTGTTGGTGGTTATTCACTCTGTTCCTTTTGGCCCATTATTTTACAAACCTGAGCTCTTCCAGCTCCACACAGTCCTCTTCATTAACAGTGAAAGGATTTGAAGATCTGGCTAATCAGGACAAGATGGAGTATGGGTGCATGGCAGGGTCTACTCTTGCATTCTTCAAGGTGGGTTAAAATATTTAGTACAGCATCGAGTATTTTTGCATGTATCTCAAAGTCATCAAAATCTTCAGTGCATTTGAGCAGCTGTATATTTTTATTCATTGGATATGACCATGCAAGCTGATTTTCACTTCCCATGTGCATGACCTGTGCTGTCACTGCACCCTTTTTTAGCCATATTTATGATAGATACTAGAACATGTTCAAGGTTATTGGATGTATTGCACCTTTCTGAGACTGAGCACTGAGACACCTTATGATGATTTGCAGTCAGAACAGGGTAGAAACATATAAGCCTCCATAAGCATATGAAATACTTTATAAAAGGCCCTATATTTCCTGTATTTCTGTAGTGTATAGCACAGGTCATGCACATGGGAATTGAAAATCAGCTTGCATGGACATATACCCAATGAAAAAGAATTCAATAACTCAACTACTAACCAAATTAGTAGTATAATTATTACATTTGTCATAATAAAACAAAATCTAAGAAAAAAAATCAAGGAATGCAAGGAATGATTATTATTTTATGGATCATGTGTCTGTACTTGTATCCTTAATAAATATTTACTGAAGGAATAATACAAAATATGTAGGAAGCTAATTACAGACAAGTCAAATGCACTAGCCACTACAAAGCCCAACAGGAGCTGCAGTCACTTGCTTAGCCATCTTCCTGTTATTTTGGTGCCCATTATACAATATATTTAACACATTTTTTAGTACTGTTTTCACTTGTCACTGGTCATAATGCATATCCTTTGTAATTTTTTGAGCATCCATTGTTTTTTTTGCAGAATTCCAGTAACATGGTCTATCGGAGGATCTATGAGCACATGGAGAGGAGTAAGAGTTTAGTGTCTTCGATGGACGAGGGGGTGCGCAGGGCCAGAGAGGGGAACTACGCCTTCATCGGAGAGTCTGTGTCTCTGGATCTGGCTGTGGCGCGGCACTGTGAACTGGTTCGGACTCATGAGGTCATTGGAATGAGAGGATACAGTATTGCAGCACCTTTTGGTACAGTATAGATTTAAGATGAATAAAAAAATAATAATATTATAATAATAATATTATTTTCAGTGAAAGTAAAAGAGGTTAATATAGAGCTGAAGAGTCTCTTGCATTGTGCTGCTTGTGATTTTAGATTAGACTCTCCAACCAGGAAATTAAACTTGGGGTTCCTTATACAGTAGCAAAATGATGCAAATAAAAAAGCAACTTGGCAACTTTAAAATGCCCATGATCCTTGGTCATAATAACCTGTAAACCTTGATTTTTGTTTTGGTAATTTAGTGGCAGTGATTTTAGATATTGATAAAGATATTAATGATTTCTGAAACAATGAATGAGCAAAAAACTTTTACTTTCCCCCCATATGGAACAGACGAGGCACTGTACAAGAATGCTATTGAGCAATCAGATTTCAGTTTGATGGCCTTATTGCTAGACTGCTGTTGCTATCAATATTTTTGCTTTGGGAACAACATCTTTAACAGCTTAATGATGTAATAACTTAATGACACAGCCTAATCATGTACTAACTTAATGAACTTTTGATAATATGTTAGAGTATTTCAAAATGCTTTATAAAGGCTAATTAAGGTATAGTTACTATAAAGTGTGACCAAACTTTTTTTCAGGCTCTCCTTTCTTAGAGAACTTGAGTTTGGCAATCCTGGAGCTGGGTGAGGCTGGGGAGCTGGAGTACCTGCGTAGTAAGTGGTGGGGCAGTCACTGCTTGGACCAGGATCAGACCGAGACCACAGAGGCACCCCCACATAAGCTTAAAGGGCTGTTCTTGCTCTTGTCTCTGGGCTTAGGCCTGGGGCTCGTGCTGGCCCTCTTGGAGCTCGCCGCACACAGCCGAAACACCGCAGCAGTGCAGAAGGTACAGTATGCAATGTGCATAGTCATATTATACAATATCACACTTTAGTGTCTGTGCTTATCATGAGATGTCAAGTTTACCATTATTTACAATTATTACTGGCTAAGCAACAAAGAGTTCCGTAATTTACCTTCATTCACCTTCATTCTCACAGATGACCACTTCTTTAGTCTAGTGCATTACTGGCATTTTGAAATGAAACTTTCCAAATGATAAGGTAATGTTAATGTGGCATAGACAGACAGATAATAAAAAATTTAAACTTGCTTGACTTTTTGAAGTATTGAATTGACATTTTTACATCAAACATTATCTTTCTTACTCTTAGAATTATATTATAACCTTAATCATTATCCACAAACCAAACAACTATTAATAAATGCTGATACTATGATTAAATACATAGTAACTTTGTCTCCCATCCCAGAATGCTTTACATCTTGATGATGAAGCAGACTGATGTAATATACCTTAATCTTAAACTTTTTCTGACTAAACTAATTTCAGTAGGATAAAATTCACATGATTTTATATTTATACAATGTGTTCTATTTTCCCCCATAGAAATCTTGTTGCTCCGTGCTGGTTGAACAGCTAAGTCTGCGCTTGACCAACAAGGCAATACCACAGGAAACTAATGATAACAACAAGGACAAACCATAAAATTGAATGTCAAATTTTTATAACATGACTGGACATTTTTACTAACAAAATATTTACGGAGTTTACAGAGATTTGCATGCGTGACTCAAAATAGTTCAATAATAAACTGTAATGTTTTCTACTTGTAGTGCACATTTTCTGATATTTTATGTACAATTGGCAATGACATAAAAGAAATTGATTCTGTAAACATTCCCAGCAGAGTGTATATGACAGTTATTCATGTAAACAATGTAGCAGGTGAATAAAACTGCCATGTACTTTTTCACTACCAAATGGCTCTATTATTTAAACAAACAATCTTTTTTTTTTTTACACACAACAGTAAAATGAAGGATACATCCACACTTCTTGGATCCTGGTTTGATCAATGCTGAGTCCTAACTTAGACTTGGTTTGGTCTTGTCTATGTTCTGGTTTAGGCGCTGTTCACATTTGCACAGCCGCCATATCAAAATTGATTTAACTGGGACTAACCTCAGAAATAATCTAGGGATGGGTAAAATATTGTCTCAAGTATCTGTACTGGTGTTCAGAGAGGGTTTGTCAAATATTATAATAATAATTTTTAAAAACAAAAAATTTCAACACGGAATTTTTATTATTTTATGAACTAATATCCATGGAGAGGAGTGTTATTGCTTAATTTGCACTGTGTACTCATGTGTCATTCCCAGTTTGTCCTCAGTGCATCTGATTTGATTAAATTAAAGTTAATTAGACCATGTCTAAATCAGGACTAGAACAGGACCAAAGAAAGTGCAGATTTGTTTCTGGTTTTAGACTGCAATTGGGAATGCAGTCTAAATCCTCCAAAATTCAGCTGACAGCATCTTAAAAAATGATGTGCCTATAACTATCCTGACTCATCTTCAAAAATCAGAGGTGACTTGCAGCGAATTTCTCTCATCTTCTGTTCAAAAAGTGCCTTCATTTCTCGTTGCAAAGTGCCGTCATCTTGTCCCGCTCCGGCTGGGACACTTGAAGCCACAAACTCCAGACTGTCCGTGCTGCCACTGCTAATGGAGGAACTCTCAGACAGACACACACCATTGGGAATAGGCCTCACCTGACTACTAAAACTCTCCGGTGTTTTCTGGAAAACAGTCTTACGGTTTACCATGGGTGTCTGGGAAGATAACCGTTTTGGCGGGCAACTTTGCGAGCGGTGTTTGGTCCTTATTGGTGAGGAGGGTCTTGGGTTAACTGGGGTTTCTAATGTTCGGCGGATTCGGGGGGGAGATGGGGGCGGGATGAGAGGTCGTGAAATGTGTCGAGGGAGGGACTGACGCTCAGAGGCAATGTCAATTTGTGTGTCCATTTCATTGTTTTCCTCTAGTTCTTGTGGTGAATCTTCCAATATTTCAGGTTGCTCAAATTCACAAGTTTGAATTTCTTCCTCTTCTGCAAAATCAGGAAGAGGCACAGGTTGTGGCTCTACTTCTATTAAACTGTTATTCTCAGCACCAGAGATGTCAGAATAATCTTGGGATACAATGTCAAAACTGTCCGGTGAAACGAAGGGTGCAGGAGTCAAAGGAGGAGACTCAATAGAAGCCATTCGCATCAAAATCCCTCTCTTTGGTTTCTTGGGAGGCTCTTGGATTTTGACCCTATGGGCGCGCCGCACTGGCTCACTCATTGCCCCCTTGTGGTTAGATGCCATAGCTGTAGGGCCAGGGACAAAGGGAAATATGTCCCCATTTTTACTGTCTTGAGAAAATGAGTCCAGATCTCTACGAAAAACTGGGCGACCATCATCTGAAGACTGGATGGAGAAGTCCAAAGACGCCTGCCGTGGCTGTCCCTTTATGTGCTTCTGAGCTGCCTTCTGGATTTGCTTCTTGGCCACTTTAACAGCATTGGTGGGTTTGGCCTGTCAGATGAAAATGTTACAGTTACATGCTAAAATTTGTTGGCAGTATGTGGGAACTTGGTTGGAAAATGAACATCAGGATCAAAAAGTACAGTAAAATAATATCCCACTTACATTCTTATTCATTTATTTATTATTTTTATAAAAAATTTGTATTCTCTTTATTCAAGTATAAAGCTGTAGTACTTGTAGCCCCAGAAATACACTGTACTTACCCATAACATAGACATTTTTTGACACAGTTCAGAACATGCATGAACTAAACTGAAATCTTACCTTTCCAGTACTGTCAATGATGGCAACATGAACAAAGATGGAAGATTCTGCCATGCCTTCCAAGTACACATGCCGATAACCTATGTCACATTGAAATCAATCATGTTAAAATATATTTGAATCTATGATATGAATACTGTAGTTAATACAGATATTTGTGTACCTGGCAGCATACTCCTTAAAGCTATAGTCCTTTGTCCAATGAAGTCCCGTCCGATCGAATCGTGGTCCCAGACTTCAAAACGCACCAGTGCTATTTGAGGCATTTTAATGTTGAACACAAGAGTCTCCTCCCACATAGGGTTAAAACCTTGGTAACAGAACACATTTTAAGCATAGACTAACTATTATGAACTTCACAGATATTTTAATATTTTACCATTGTCATCTACCACTCTTGTTTGTTGCTTTTTGCAGTCAACAGGTAGACCGATAATTTCCACCTCAACATAGGGATCAATAATCTGGAAGGGGAAAACAAATATGTAATATATGTAAGATATATTTTCTATTTATTTTAGTGAGTATTCATAAATTATAATGAAAACCTACCTCTCCCCTGTCTCCCAGCATTGAATCTTTTGGTTTTGGAAGCTGCTGTCCACTAATAATTTTCAGAACTAACTGGGTTTTTCTGCATCCTGGCAGAGGATCATCTAACATGGGATTAAAGGCACCTATAGTGAAAAAAAACACATATTGTCTATGTAATATGATATATATGAAGCAGTTATAACACAAAATACCCACCTTTATTTAAGCACTTGGGCCTCAGAATGTATCCACTGTTCCCGTTACTGGCAAACTTGGCTCGGTTCAGTTCAAGCATTCGACCTTCAGTCTGATAATTCATTGCAACTGAAAGATTCACGTTCACGTTCACAGTCAAAAACGTTATGTGCAATTGACTATGTTGTCTTTATCAACATATTGTACAAGACTAAATTTTATCTAAAAAATAAAAATATAAAAATGCAAAACATTTGTTGCCTCTGAATAACTGCCACACATGCATTGTACTGAGAAGAGCCGGAAAGTGATACCAGCATGTAGAATAATTTAGGTCACTGTTTTAGCATTCCAAAATATGGGGCCCATGAATGAAAAAGAAAAAGTAATCTGAAACAGTCTTATATATTGTGATTTATTAAACAAATGTTATGATAGCATTTGCTATTTATGTATTATATATTCAAATAAATATTCATCTCACTGTACATTTTACAACTGTCCAGGAGACTAATATCAATACCGTTAAACTAAACTAAACTAAACTAAACACAATAATCATATTCCTTACAGAACACGATATATATTTTGAATGGTAAAATGTCTTTAAAATGTTGCATATAACAAGAAGCTGTAATAGCTTATTTAAGTCTTACCCATGTGGCAGCCTGTGTTCCAGTACGGCTGAGGGTTGAAGTTGCTGGAGTCCACTCTGTAGTTGGAGGGATAAACTCTGAGGAGCTGTCTCTGGTTAAAACGCACCAACTCTCCGGGCTTTAGCTGCAATATCTGGTTCATAACTGTCTCATTCAGGGAAGAGACCTGCCAACTGTTTGTATAAGCTAAAAGACAAATGAATAAGTGGCATTCAAAGTTAATTGTGATAAAAAAAATAGTGTGTAAAAATAATTGTACTACCTTAATTACCTTGTGTTTCTATGTCATGCACTCGGACTGATTTGGTGTATTTGACCAGATCAGACAGAGCTCGGGATAGCCTCATAGTTTTTCTTTTTCTGCAAGAAAACATGGCAAATAACAAACGGTAATGCAGGAAAGTAATACATTTTGTATTGTGGGCTGCAAACACATTATTATACACACAATATTTCCCTACAAAATATATAAACAAATTCATGAAGGTTATTGCAAATCAATAAACCTGAGAATACATTTTATATATATATATATATATATATATATATAGTATGTTTACTTTTTATGTAAATGCAGAAGATCTTTCCAGTAGTAGATTCACCTCTTGGTGAATGTTTGTCTTTAGTTTGAGATTTACTCACTTTGGATGGTAGATGATCTGAGTCCTGTCTCTGCTGCCACTATAGTCTGAGTCTCCATCTGACACAGATTTGTGTTTGGGGTGCTTCTTTTTTCTCTAAAACACAAATCCATCATACTCATCACTTCAGTTGGGGGAATCATGAAACCACTCCTAGCGACTATAGGCCTTAAGCAGGGTCTGTGGTGCCAAATCACAACTAAAGTGACATTCAAGAAATTTTACATGCACAAAAGCTTACATGTAATATACAAAAAAGGTATTTAAATGACCTTTCGTTTGAAACTCCTCATGATAGACCTTCCAAAACGCTTTGTCTTTTTGGACTGGTTGGCAGATGCTGCACTGTTCCCATCCTGTTTAATTTGATTCACCACATGATTTAAATCATCAGCAGCCATGTTACTAACTTTAAATAACGATAAATGATTCACCTGAGGATCGTCATCTTCATCTGATTCCTCCTCAATGTCCTCATTTTCAGTGTCTTCATCCGACACATCTCCCTCTTCTGCATCAGGGTCAAGGTTAGCGGGCAGCTTTTTACCCTAAAAAACAAATTGTTGGTGCAGTTAAGACCTGATTGCCTTGTTAAGGTATAGGCTAGCTAGGCCCTAGATGTCATTCAGTGCATGCAACAAATCTGTAAAAAGGTATTGCAAACTAAAGGTGAATGCCATATTTTCTGTCAAAGCTCGAAATAAAACCAGTCGATCAAACCTTGATGAGGACTTTTCCCTTGAGAAGCTCAGGAGAGGGCAGCTTCCTAAACTCTGGCGTGTTGACACAGGACAGGTCCAGTTTGTCCTGGAGCACCTCTTTCAGATACTCCGCCATTTTCTTCTGCTGAGGCACAGTGCAGTGGTTTTCTATGGACAAGATCACCGGGAATCTGGGAAGGAGGACGAGACAAATAAGTCAAGGTAAAGTACAAAACATGTTTAAAATTTGCTACTAACTTTAGGCTGTGTTTTTTAAATTATGATTTTGTTGTGTTGTGTTTGTTATTGAGT